GTTCTAGCAGGAGAACGTGGTCCTTCGTGTATGACTGTTGATCAAATTCCTGACTTGAAAATCATTCATGTGAGGTTTGTTCCTGGTGGTAAGCAAACGTATGAAAACATTGATGACAGCTCTAGTGTACCAACAAGTCAACTTTCATCTGCGGCGAGTGCCTCAAATCTTATCGATTCTGCGAACGAAGATCCAAATCCTAGCAAGAAACCCCGTCCCGACGAAAGTCCAACCAAGTATCCGTTAAGCCTATCGATTTCTCAAATGATCAAATTGGGTAGACTAGGGACTTGCTCCGACTCGAGTATCGTTGTCAATCTTTATTCTTTTGACATTAACCTAAGTTCATGGTCTCAAGTTCCACAAACTGTCGAATTCCAGGAAGAAAAAGAACCATGCGGCCAARGGGGCTTTCGTAAAGCGTATAAGGCCAAAAGCAAGCATCCAGATTTTAAGGGCAGGCATTGGGTTATCAAAAAATACCTCCCAAAAGCAGAACAAGAAATTGAAAATCAGGGGCTGACCTTAGAGGAACACACCAAAAAAACAGTGCAGATGCACTTACTAGCAAAAAACTTTGCTTCACAGTTAGAGAATAGTATCAATACAGACGACCTTAAAGAATTTGGCCAACCACTGAGATACCGTAAAATATTTTATGGGGAAACAACTGATAAAGACTATGTAACAGTAGAAGAGTTTATTGAAGGAAAATTTATCAAGTACATCAATAACAATGGCAAAGTACCTACAGCAGTAGCTAGTGATGATGTCAATGCACTTAAAGCACAGTGTCTTTCCCATTTTTCATATGTCAAATCTGGAAAGCAATTGCTGCTTGTAGATGTTCAGGGAAGTGGGGTGGATTTATATGATCCTGAAATTGCATCAGTTGAGCTGTACGATGAGAAGAAAGCTATTCTTTATTGCATTGGCAATCTATCAAGCATTGCAATTAATACATTTGCAAAGGAGCATAGATGCAACAAGTATTGCAAGCTGGTTAACCTTGAACCAATTCAACAGTGAGTGAGTGAAATGTTTAAGGAGCTGCTTGCAACAAATATACAATGATAGCCTACAGGCAMCAAACACTGTTTTCAGTGCTGTCAGCATCCTGTGTTGGGCATGAAGGATTGTCACAGTCATTTAGAGGTAATGTTAATTCAGTACTGTAATAATATTAATTTTGGTTGGTTATTAAAATAACATTTGTTATAGCCTTTGCACGTGATAGATTACACTGACCTTTTTTTGTTCATGATTTCAAATCAAAAAATGTTGTCAATGTTAATATGAATGTGTCTTGAATTGTTTGGACTTGTCTTAATTTGACATGCAGTACTGAGTTCACATTGTATTGAAATAAGCAGTTCCTGTTTATATTTTAGATAAAGTACTAGGAATTGATATTTTGAGCACTGTAGCATAACAGTAAAACACCCTAGTGGCTATTTTGGGCCAAATTGAAATCTTTTCTCTTTTAACAAGAGGATTTAAAAGTGTGATGTTTCGATTTTGACTCAAAGACTATTCTCATTTCACAACAGTTTTTAATTGCTAAGCAAAAATGTAATATTTGGGAATATATTTGCAAAAGATTTCAAGTTGTTATGCAGTTTGCATTCATAACAAAGAAAATTGCATTCCACACTCAAAATAAGCCACATGTTTCTCTTGAGTTATACTGCTTTCATTGTTATCTCAGTAACAACTCATTAGCATTTTTTCAAAAAAGTATTANATGTAAACAATATTGGTCAGTTATAGAATACATTGTACCTTTTTAGACTGTTTGATCATTACTTCCCAAAGCTATCTACAGATGTACTCAAAGGCAGTTTAGAGCTCTCATTTTTATGTTCCTGAGAGTATTCACATAGATTTTTTCAAACAAATTCATTGTTTCAGAATGTTTGGTTGTTGTTGCCTGTTGTTGTTCAGACTGTTAAAATATATGGATATAAACTGTTATAGATTTTCTTTTGTTAATAAAGAAACAATCATTAGAAACTGTTCAACTATTATTTGATAATTATTGACATAATTAGGTTTAATATATAACAATGGTATTAACAACTCAATGATGCTGGGAGAAAAGGTCTAACAGTTATGCCATTACTGAACTATTGATTTGAACATTTACTAACAATCAGCCACATGGGTGTGCCTTTAAGTTGAGAGTGTTTAAAAAAAGTCCAAATGCCCTTTACATATCCAAACATTTCAATCAGGCTATTTCAGGCTACATAAAATTATTATTTATTGGGCGGGCTGGTCCACATCAAACAAAATTTATTTTCATTGCCCCCTTTCCAAACAATGTTTATGGTAAGAATGCATGTAACTTTATGTTTATAAAGACATTACCTTATTTACATCAAAATGATCTCTCAAAAATAARTATGCATTAGAAGCCTGTGATGGCTCAATGTCATCAGTGTTTGATATGTGTCTTTGACACTCCTGCTGAAAAGACTCCTCCAAAAAGGCATCAGTGTCCTCAAGGACACCTGACAATTCCGCAACTTCCTTTAGCTGCTCTTCTGTTATAGGATGGCCACAATTCTCACCACCATAAATCTGTGGACATGTGTRTATGTGTTCAGGTATGCCAACTGGAAGTAGCTTGTTTTTTTGTTTCCTCACTCTGTGCATATTCCAGACAGTTTCTTTGAAAATATCAAGCTCCTTCTGTAACACTGGTACAAAGACATATGCCAGCATATTCCTATTTAATACAAATTAATAATTAGAATGCTTGTTTGATATGTGTATACAGCACTACTACTAAAAACTGAAAGTGTGAAAGTGATGATTATTTTTGTCTTTAAAGTAAATAAAGGATCAAAACAGCATCAATCAGAAATGTCAATATATATTATTTTTATACCTGTCATTTTGATCCTTCGGGTCATAGACACCATTCTCTAACAGAACAGACAACTGCCTTTTGAAATAGCCTTCCATTCGTTCTAACAACTCTTTCCACCATCTCTCAATCTTATTCTCTGTAGAAGGCCCATATAACACACATTCTGTATCATCCTCTAAGTCATCATGTTGATTTCGAAGATAGCAGTGGATAGTTGCCATAATTCCTGTTTCTGTTCCACGATCTACCCTTATTCGTGATGGTAATACTGGGGATAAGATATATTTTTTATATTATTATTCTTGGTTATGCTAAAATAATGCAAATTTGTATCAATTTATTGCTATCAAATACACAAAAAATATAACCAAACACTTTTCATCAACTCTGATGAAGAACTAAATATATAAACAACGATACCCTGGTCCCAGACGTTAGATTTTTTGTGACAAGGACAAAAACATCCTGCCCCAGGGGTAGGGCTATTGCTGGTATAAATAGTCCCAAGAGGCAGGGGCATTATTGGAGATTAGACCTTGCATTGTTTCTACTAATCCAAATACAATCGGTGTTTACATTGACTCGTGCATAACGTATTGTTCTAGAAAATAAGATAAACGTTCTTAATTACCTCTGGACTCATACAAGTAGTCGAAGTAGAATCGTCCAATGATTTTAGGGTCACTGTTAGTTGTCCAAATTCTTAGAAAGTTGATCCTGCCGCTAAACGTATCTTGTGCTCCATAAATACAAAGAGGGAATGTCGAGTTTTGGAATCCACAAAGCTTGTCGTGGCCGTCTAAAGACATTGTAAAATCAGATCCCTACAATTAAGAAGCCATATCAAAGTTAAAGAAAGACAACAGCTGAAGAAATAACCATTTAGATATTCTCTATTTCTTACACTAGACGCAAATGCTCCCTTCCTTCTTGCTCGTTTTKGTTGTCCTACTCCTCCTCTTTGCTTGAGACCTTCAGGATAAACATCAGCCATCACGTTATAAACCAAGTTTCTTGGCACACTTAAACCATGTAATTCCTTGATTTTTTTGTGGAGAGCACGATAACCTAGTAATCGCCCAGGTCCGTCCATCTCTTTAGTGACTGCTCGTTTTACGTCTTCCACATCGATCTCATATTAATCAATATACTTGATCCCGAAGTGTTGAAGCCGGCGTGAAAGAGTTCTTTTACTCCAAGCATACATTGGATAATGAATTTGTACTAAATCTAGTATCTCCTCTTGCTTCAAATTACGTCTTACATTTCGCTCAAGATAGTCTTGTAACTCTTGGTCTTCTTTCCAGTTTGAGTTTCTTATTCGAGACGCCATGTTTTCCGGTGATTGATGCCCGAAAAGAATCATGGTCTATGGCGTCGCTGGGCTGTCGTATTTTTGTCATTTTTATTTCATTTGAAATGAAATGAATTGAAACAAAATGAAATAAAACAAACTAAAACAATGATTGAAAAATAATAAATAGAGAGTATAAAAAAACAAAGTGAAGTAAAAAAGTATAAAACTGAAATAAATACAAATAATTTAAAACAAAATAAAATAAAAAAAAAAACAAATAAAATGAAAATAAAATAAAATAAAATTATAAAAAAATTAATTAAATTAACATAGAAAAAAAAWTAAATCAAATGAAAATTCAAAAAAATTAAAAAAGTTACACAAAAAGTGCAAAAACCACTATGGCGTCAATGGGCCACCATACACTATCAAGAAGACACGCGTAGATTTGACTACCGTCAGTGATCATGAGTAAGTTTGGTTTTAGTCAATGACTTGCGTGTGTAGCCATCTTCATTGTTCATTTCCCATTTTTTTCGCTGTTGCAGTGAAAGCGATAGAGAAGGT